CTGTTGTTGCTGCTGCTGCTGCAGCTTTGTGTGTGTGCAGGATGTAGCCGTGTTGCTGCAGTGTACTGAGGTGTATGCACAGCATCGTGTATTAAATTGGTTACGTCCTCCTGTTGCTATAAAAAAAAATAAAGAAAATAATATTTATTTATATAAAAAAAAAGATAATGATTTGTTGCTCCTTTATTGTCTTAATGATCTTAAACAATTACAATTTGTAAGGATAATCATGCTGCTGCTGCTGCTGCTGTTGCTGCTGCTGCTGCTGCTGCTGCTGCTGGTGTTGGTGGTGCTGATGGTGTTGCTGCTGCTGTTGCTGCTGATGCGGCTAGCTTCTTTCTTCTTCTGCTGCTGCTTCGGTCACGCTGCTGTGTTTGTCTTTGCAACTGATTGTACGTGCTGCTGTGGTTGTTTGCTGCTGTTGTTGTTGCTGCAGCTGCATGGTACAGCCGCGCTTCCCGAGTTGCTGCTGCTGCCCTTCGGCAACGTTGCTTCTTTCCTTGCTGCAGTCGACAGGTGGGTTCCTCTTCCTCCCATTCTTGCTCCCATCTGCTGCTGCAGCAGCAGCAGCAGCAGATGCAGCATCAACATCTGTCCAGTAATTAGTGCATCCATAGTAGATCTAAGACCGCTATTATTGCTGCTACTGCTGCTGCTGCTGCTGTCGTTGCTTCTGCTTGTTCAGGCAATTGTTCGGGAAGGTATCGCCATAAGCGAGCAACAGCAAGAACAAAAGCAACAACAACAGCAACAGCAACCTAAGCAACAACAACAGCAGCAGCAGGAGCAGCAGCAACCGCAGCAGCAGACTCCTTAATTGTTGTCCGTGCCGCGGCCGCCCACAGTCGCGGCAGAATTTTATTTTAGATTCAACAGCAGCAGCAGCAGCAGCAACAGCTGCTGCTGCTGCTATTTCTTGCCGACTTTGTTATGGCTACTGCTGCAGTATCTGCTGCTGCAGCAGCGGCAGCAGCATCCTGCGCTAAGGCAGTTGGGGTGTATCTTCACCACAGCTGCAGAGAATATTTATCTAACTATTTGTTTTTATTTATTCCTGTTCTTTCTGCTGCTGTCTCTGCTGCTGCTGCCTCTGCTGCTACTACCTCTGCTGCTGCTGAAGCAGCGTAGTGCCACTTTAGTGGGATTTGACAGCGAGAAGCGCCGCTGCAGGAGCAATAGCTGCAGCAGCAGCAGCAGCAGCACCTGCTGCTGCTTCAGCTGTTGGCTTATGGCTTATATTTGAGAATAAATTAATGGTGAAACTGCAGTGCAGCAGCTGCTGCATAGCAGCGAGTTCTAAAAAGAGGCTGCAGCAACGTGACGAGCAGCAACAGCAACAGCAGCAGCAGCACTTGCTGCTGCTGCTGCTGTTGCTGTTGCTGCTGCAATGGTTTACTGGTATAGGGAGATAACTCCACAACGGTTAACTCTGCATATATCTGTGTATGGTGCTGCTTGCGGGTCTCTGTACATGCGCGGTGTGCATGTGCCTGATAGGTGCAGCAGCAGCAGCAGCAGCAGCAGCAGCAGAAGCAGCAGAAGCACCAACAGCAACAGTAGCAGAAGCAGGGCGGTCTAGTTTCCTATGCCTCGGGGTAAGCCGATAGCAAGATACTGCTGCCTTAACTAACGAATATTCTTCTTGCTGCAGCACACACACAAGCAGCACAGCAGCAAGCAGCAACAGAGACTTGCTGCAGCAGTTAATGCTGCACCTACTGCGTGAGATGCTGCAGCAACTGTCCCAGTAATTACTGCCTGCTGCACCGTTGTGTGGTGCAGTTTGTGATGCTGCAGCAGCTTCAGCACAAGTGCAGCAGCAGCTGCTGCTGCCTCTGTATTAGCTGCATGTTGCATGTGCTGGGTATAGCAGCAGCAGCAGCAATATACTGCTGACCAGTTTACGGGTATCTAATTTGTTATCAAGTACAGATTGGGGCTTGTAGTTGCTGCTGAATGGACGCTGCATGCGTCGTTGCTTCTGCTGCTGCTGCTGCACTGAATCTACTAAGGGAGAGGCATTCTCCCATAGAGCAGAGCCTAAGACACGCAGCCATGCTTGTGCCTTTAATGCTGCACATACACCACAGCTGCATATACACCCCAGATATTAGTAGCAACCCCCTTCTGCTGCTGCTGCTGTTGCTGCTGCTATTATTGCTACTAAGAATGCTGCCGTTGTTGCCGCTGCTACAGCATCTCTTGCTGCTCTTGTTTCTGCTGCTGCTACCATCGCTACTAAGCTGCTGCTGCAGCATTCCCCCTCCCCTCCTATCAGCACCAACACGAACAACAACCACCTATACCATATCTGCTTCTGCTGCTGTTGCTGCTGCTGTTGCTTCTGCTGTTGCTGCTGCATTTGCTGCTGTAGCGACGTACATTTTGCTGCATTGGATCCGAATACATTTTTGAGGTTTCTTAATGCTGCTTCTCTTCCCATGAGTTGGCATAAGAAGAGAAGAGCATCATCATACCATATACATCCTTTAGGTCTGTTTTGCTGCTGCTGTATAAGTAAATAAAGAATAAAATGCTGCAGCAGCTGCGCTTCTCTCCTCTTGTTGCAATTCTTAAAACGACTATATAGACATAAAAAATCTATGCACTCTAAATATCCGTCACCATTCGAATCCGCCTCCCTGTACACACACCAAACGCATGCAAACAGCAGCAGCAGCAGCAGCAGCAGCAGCAGGAACAGCAGCAGCATGAATTGCCAAGTTACACCCGCTGGGAAGCTAATAGCAGCGACTGCAGTAACAGCAACAGCAAAATTACGTGCCACTGCCACTGAATTTTCACCAGCTGCGGTGTGCCTGCTGCTGCTGCTGCAGCAGCATGGGTGCTCCTGCTGCAGCAGCACAACCAGCAGCAGCAGCACGGCCAGCAGCAGCAGCACGGCCAGCAGCAGCAGCACGGCCAGCAGCAGCAGCACAACCAGCACAAGGAACGCATGCAGCATCAGCACAAGCAGCAGCAGCACAACCAGAAGCAGCAGCACAACCAGCACGAGGAATACATGCGGCATCAGCACAAGCACCAACAGCAGCACAACCAGAAGTAGCACAACCAGCAGCAGCACAATCAGCAGCAGCATCACGAACAGCAGCAGCACAACCAGCAGTAGCATCACCAACAGCATCACAAGCACCAGCATCACAAGCAGCAGCAGCACAACCAGCAGCAACAACAACAACAACAACAACAGCAGCAGGAGCAGGAGCAGGAGCAGGAGCAGGAGGAGGAATATGTACCATACACAACTATTAATTTCTTGTATAGGTAGATGAATTCCTTCTCCTTTCATTTCTCTCTGAATATCGAGAGGTGAAATTTTTCCATCTCCATCTTTATCCATTTCTTTAAATAATTTATATAATCGTAATCTTTCTTGTATTCTTAATTCTCCTGCTAATAATATATCTGCTTCCCCTGGTAATGGTCTATTATTATTTATACTTATTATACTACTACTACTTAATTGTCTTGTCATTTGTGGCACTTTATTACTGCTACTTCCTGTATTACTGCTACTGTTGCTGCTCTTAGATGTAGATGCAGCAGCTGCAGCAGGAGAAGAAGCAGCAGCAAAAAAAGCTGAACGCACCATTGCGATTAATTATTATTATTCACACAACAACCCAATTAATCCCTACAGATAAATGCATGCAAAAGCACTTTGGCGATGATGCTGCTGCTGTTGCTGCTGCTGTTGCTGCAGAGGATCCTTCCAGTTGCGGTTGTTGCAGATAACGGTGCTGGTGCAGCTGGTGATGTTGCTGTTTGCTGGCTGTGCTGCTGTTGCTGCTGCTGCTGCTGGTACGGGCGATATTGGTGCTTTGGCAAGTAGGTAAAGGGGGGTCGATGAAGATGTTGCAGCGAACATGCAGCAGCAGTTGAAAAGGAGTACTGCAGCAGCTGCTGCAGCAGCAGCCCCAGCTGCTGCTAGGATGAGGAAGACTACAAAAAAGGAAAAGTTGGTTGCATGTAAAAAGAGAGAAGGGAGAGCAGATATTAGAGGAAATGTAGTCAGTATAAAGCGGTATATTCTCCTCTTAATATATTATTGCGAATGCTAATAAAACTTTACTATAAATAATATATTTTGTATTATTTCTCCCCCCTTTTACTAAACAAATACCCATGCAGTAAAAGGGGAGGCTGTAGCCACCGCACGGGTAAAAGCGCTAAAAAGAAGAGGCAAGCGATAAAAATAAAAGAAGAAAAATAAATTAAATTAAAATTGAAATGCAAATAAAACAACAAAACAAACAAAAACGAGGAAGCAATGGCAGCTAAACAGACATACACGCAGCATCGAGGCTCGGCGCGGCATCCATTAGCTGCCGCGTCTGTTGCTGGTGTTGCTACTGCTGTTGATGCAGCGACCTCTGCGTAAAAATGGATAACTATGGAATAAAATTGAAGGCGGAAAAGAAAGTAAATAAATAAATAATGAATTTTTAAATATTTCAAATTAAATGCAGCAAAACGAGCACAAAAGAGCAACTTCCCCCTTCCCCCCTCTCTTAGGTCACTTCCACAGATAGGCAGTAGAAGGCGGCAGCAGGCGGGAGAAGGAGGCCTTAAAAGGTGATAGAAAGGAGTTAAAAGCATTAATTAATTGTTTTTAAATTATAACAAAGAAAAATAATTAAATTCTTCTAGCTGTAAACAGCACAAACAAGTGCAATAAGGGTGACCTACTCGGTCAGGGCGGCGTCGATAGCAACCGAGTAGCAGCCAGACGAATAATTTGAGGTTATACGGTAATAATAATCCTACACTAACTAAAGAAATATTTTGTTCTAATTTATTACATGCATCATAAAAAGCTCAGAAAGGATGCAAAGACCGATCCCGTTAAGCGTGGATCTTACATGCACAGGTTATTAAAGACAAATTAAGGGGGAAAAAGTTTTTAATGTTAAATTAGTGATACGTAAATGACACATACGGATAAAATAAACACATAAACCTCATTTTAATCCCCTTATCTACTCATTGTGGTGTTTGGATGCTGCTGCTGTAGCCGCAACCCGCAGAACATAGGGCACAACCACGAATTCGGGCTGCTGTTGTTGCTGCTGTTGCTGCTGCTGCTGAAACTGTACACAAAAAAACACTAAGTTGGCAGACAAGCCCACGAGACTGGGGGTGGCCTGCGCCTGTTGCTGCGCTGCATTGGCTGCAGCAGCGGAGCAGCACACAGCAGCAAGGCAGCAGGAAAGAACCCCAAAGAAGGGTATACCTAAGCCAGCATTTACCTGCCTATACACCTCATTGTATCTCAATAATAAAAAGTTCACAAATAAATACACCACAAATATAAATACCTGCAACGGCACACTCAGCACAGCTGCAGAAGCTGCAAAAGCAGCAAAAGAAGAAGGTAGCATCGACAGAACCAGCGCGAATATACCTGCATCCCTAGCAGCAGCAAGATCACCTGCTTCTGTTGCTGCTGCTGCTGTTGCTGTTTCTGTTTCTGTTGCTACAATTCATCATATAATGACTGTATTGCAGCGAGGAATAGTTTGTATAACATCACCAAGATATATTTCTCTTGTTAATTGTGCTGCACATATACGGTACCCCTCCCCATACACCTCATCTCTATTTATTGCTAATTTCCATAGCTGGTAGTGCAGCAACTCTAGTGACAGTTGCTCCTGCATCTCCAACGGCTGCTGCAGCTGCTGTTGCTGTTGCTGTTGCTGCTGGTGGTGGTGGTATTGCTGGTACTGCTGTTGATTCAGTTGTTCGTTTTGGTAGGGGTAGTGCTGCTGCTGTGGGTTCTGCAGAAACTGTTGTTGCTCGCCAAACTGCGGGGGCCACGGCCACGGCTGCTGCTGCTGCAGCTGCTGCAGCCCTAGTGTATTTTGCCTGCTGGTGCTGCTTAGGCAAATGCTGGTGCTGCTTATAGAATTGATAGCAGCAATCAAGACTCTTGCTGCAGCAAGATTGCATAGTCCTTCCTCAATTTGTTGAGATATAGGCAGCATTTGATTAATAGCAAAAAATGCATGCAGCACCTCATGGGCCCCGTGCTGCTGCAGCAGCAAAGATGGTAGCCCCCTAGTTAAGCGTACGCACTTGGCAAACCGTACATGCAACGAACGCTGCAGCTTGTGCTCCTGCTGCTCCCCCGGGGACCGATGGTCTTGCTGCTCCTCCTCCGGGGGCTGCTGGTCTTGCTGCTGCTCCTCCGGGGGCCAATGGTCTTGCTGCTGCTCCTCCGGGGGCCAATGGTCTTGCTGCTGCTCGCCGTCGAGGCCGATGCTGCTTCTGGAGGAAAAAAATCTCTCGTGTGTGCCGTGGGGGGTGGTTTGTTGCCCCCTCTCTTGCTGCATTTCCTGATGCTGCATTTGCTGCAGCACGGGGAGCAGGGGAGAGTTGGTTACTTGCGCCACCAGCAGCAAAACAGCAAGAGGTGCAGGGCAGAGTTGCATACACAGCACCTCGCAGCTGCCAAACAAATGAGAGCTGCGCCCAGCAGCAGCAGCAGCAGCAGCATCCATAACCACAGAAGAACGATCTACACCGAAGTCTATAAGCTTAACAAGGAAAGGCAGATCATAGAATGGGTCTGGTAGAGGCTGTTCTGCTGCAGCAGCAGCTGCTGCTGTTGCTGTTGCTGGTCTTGCTGTTGCTGGTCTTGCTGCTGCTGGTCTTGCTGCTGCTGGTCTTGCTGCTGCTGGAGGAGGGGGCACGGCAACAGGACGTCTTGCGAGAACTACACCGGGTCGGTTGGCACGCTGCTGCTGCAGCCGCTGCTGAGCCTCGTGCTGCTTCTCCTCCTCAAGGTTTATCAGCTCCCGCTGCAGCTTCTTAAGGGAGGGGGAGAAGTACACACCATCACCCTCTAATACATGCATCGCTTGCTTAACTGCAGCAGCTGCGTCCTCATCTGTTTCTACTGCTGGAAGCGACGCGCAGCGGCCACACAATACAGCAGCAGCAGCAGCACCACGAGCAGCCATTGCTGCTGATCCTGGTCGTCTCTTGCATGCAGTAAAAGGAATATGACGACTACGCATGATTTGTTCTGCTGCTGCATTTAATGCTCTAGGTAATGTTCGTTGCCGCCCATTAGGGTGTATGTACACCCCAGCTCTGCGGTCGCATGCAATACACTTAAGGTATTTCTTGCTGCAGTCGAGGCAGCAGCAGCCGCCATGTGCTGCTATTGCGCCTCCAATAGGCTTGCCTGCAGCAGCAGCAGCAGCATCCTCTGCAGCAGCATACATCTCCTCCGCTGTTATTGGAGGAGGACGCTGCAGCAGCACACTAGAAGCAAAGAATGCATGCGATTCAAAGGGGCCCCCCAAGGGTTTGTTGCAGCAGCAGCAGCAGAAGCAGCTCTTGTGCTGCACCCCCCCGCAGCCATCGGTAATGAAGGAGCCTCCCCTAAGTATTCCTCCACACGTGCTGCAGCAAGTGCAGCGTGCATGCTGCACCTTGCCTTTTCTGCATCTTTTTGCTACTTCTGCTGCTTCTGCGGCTGCTGCTTCTGCTGCAGCAGCAGCCCTCCTCGCCATCACAGTCCCCGATACTTTTGCCTCTCTGCGTGCTTTTTCCGCTACCTCCGCTGCGTCTGCCGCTGCTGCTTCTGATGCAGGGTCAGGCAGCCGCACATACGCCTCTGCTGCACCTACTGGGCCCCCACACACTGCACAGTGCTGCTGCATGCATGTAGCATGGTATACACCTGATGCAATTGCTGCACCCCAAGGAGTTCCTGCTGCTGCTGCTTCTGCTGCTGCTGCTGATGCATATAGCACACGGTCCCCATCGATCCCCACTGGGCCCTCACAAACTCCACAATGCATGCAAGACAAATGACAGCTCACAGGCACACTCCTATCTTCTGCTGCTGCTGTTGCTGCATCTGCTGCTGCTGGTGTCTTGTGGAGCTGCAGCCGCTGCTGTCTTTCCTTCAGCTTGTGGTAGCGTTCGTACTGCTGCTGCTGCAGCAGCAAAGAGAGCGTCATGTATGGTTCCCCACCATGCAGCGAACCCCCACATATGCCGCAGCAGTCCTCGTTGCATGCAAGGAAGTCTAAAGTTACCTTCCGATACTGCTGCTGCTGTCTCTGCTGCTGCTGCTGCTGCTGTCTGCGCTGCTGCTGCTGCTGTCTACGCTGCTGCTGCTGCTGCTGTCTTTGCTGCTGCTGCTGTTGTTGTCTTTGCTGCTGTGGCTCCTGTTGTCTTGGCTGTTGCGGCTCCTGTTGTCTTGGCTGCGGTTGCTGTTGTCTTGGCTGCGGTTGCTGTTGTCTTTGCTGCGGTTGCTGTTGTCTTGGCTGCGGTTGCAGTTGTCTTGGCTGCTGCTGCTGCTGCTGTGCTTGCAGCAGCTGCTGCTGCTGTATTTGCTGTTGCTGCTGCTGTCTTTGCTGCTGCTGGTGTTGTCTTGGCTGCTGGTGCTGTCTTGGTTGCTGATGCAGCTGCTCTCTTTGCAGCAGCTGCTGCTGCTGTCTTTGCTGCTGCGGCTGCTGTCTTTGTTGCTGCTGCTGCTGTCTGTGTTGCGGCGACTGCTGTCTTTGCTGCTGCCGCTGCTGCCTCTGCTGCTGTGGGGTGTACTTGATGCTGCGCATGGGGTGATCTCCCACAGCAACGCTGCTCTGTGCTGCTCTTAGCCTCGAGGGTGCTGCTGCTTCTGCTGCTGCTGGCAATGCTGCTGTACTGGAAACAACGCTCGTTGCTGCAGCAGCAGCTGGAACGCTGCGGCTTGCTTCTTCGGTGTGTGGCGCTGCAGGAGCAGAAGCAGCTGCGACGTGGTGGCCCTCATCCTGTACCTGTCTCCAAGCAGATGAAGCTGCAGGCGTCCTGTCGCTGCGGCTGCTGCTGCTGCTCGGTGGCCGCCGCCGCTGCTGGTGCATGGAATGCATTGCCAGGGGCGTCTGAAGAAAAACTCACCGCCTTCGGCCGCCTATAGCAGCTATTTAGTTATCTAGCTAGCTGCGTGAGCAGCTAGCTGTGTCAGCAGCTATCTACCGCAACAGATAGCTAGCGGCGCTTAAGACAAGACAAGCACAAGCCGCTTCTTTTTCTGTTGCTGCTGCTGCCTGAGTTGCAGCTGAAGTAAACAAACAGCAGCTGCCAGGTCAACCCCCAGCAGCAGACACAAGAAATGCTAGAAACAGCAGCAGACAAGAGCAATGCAGCAATTCCTGTACGCGAGTTGAGTTAACCTGATGCTGCTGCTGCTATTGTTGTTGCTGCTACTGCAGTGTGCATCAATCCGTACAACAAACTAATTGCCAAGGGGCTATCGTCATTACAAAACTCCCTGTGCAGAAAAAAATCTTCAGTTCCGCATGCGCTCTACGCCTTCGCAGCAACAGCAGCAGCGGCAGCAGCAGCTGCGGGAGATGCTGCTGCTGCTGCTGCTACTACTATTACTACTACTGTCTTGGCGGTAGACGATCCCAGGCAGCTTTCTGCGACTTCTTTGAATTTTTTAAGTAATCGCTTGTTGACTTATGAGGCATTTCATTTAAGGTGTTATAGCGGTCTTGCTGCTGCTGCTGCTCGAGTTGTTGTTGTTGCTGCTGCTACTGCTGCAGCAGGAGGGGCCCCTTGCTGCTGCAGGCGTCAGCGGAGTCCCCTTCTGTGAGGTGTACGTGCAGGTGGGGTCGTATACACCCCATTTCTTTGTTTTTGTTTTCTTTTTTAATTCTATTTTGAGCAGCAGTGCATGCAGGAAGACATAAGGGAGCTCTCGGGTCTGCGGATCATCCCTAGGGTTCGGTGCCTACTGCAGCAGCAGCAACAGAAGCAGCAGAGGGAACAGCAGCAACAACAGCAGGAGTAGACGGCTCCTGGAGCATCAGACTGCTGCGGCGGCACCAGACGGATGCAGCTCCTGCAGTAACAACGGGACGCTCCAGCAACAAACGGTCGCAGCAGCAGGAGCAGCAGCAGCATTTGCTGCTGCTGCGGCTGCACCCCCTTGCTGAGGTTGTAGCAAAATTTTAGGAAGATGGCGACAAAGATGAAGCGTTTCCTGGCCCCTGGCCCAGGATCAGCAGGAACAACAACAGCAGCAACAACAGCAACAGCAACAGCAGCTGGGGAGTCCGCAGACGACTCGGGCAGCAAAGGCAGCCTCCTTATGGGAGAGGGTGCAACAGCTGCTGGTAGTTCATCTAATATAAAGGCAGCAGCAGCAGCAGCATTTGCTGCTGCGTCTGCTGCAGCTGCTGAGTCCAGGGGTACCTCGGCAGACGGAGGCGAGGATCCACCGCTGCAAACTGCAACGTCAGCAACCACTCCAACCACTGCAGCAGCAGCAGCAGCAGCCGCAGCAGAAGCAGCAGCAGCAGCAGATGGAGCTGCGAGTTATTCTGTGGAGCAGCAGATCTATGGCTGGGGGGGTCTCTTCTCTCGTGAGGCCCTTCGCCGCAGTTCCTTAAACAGCAAACAGACGGTCAAGGAAATAAAGAATAGCCTCAAGGTAACAGCAGCAGCAACAGCACCAACTGCAGTAACTGCAGCAGTAGTAGTAGTACTAGCGACAGCAGTAGCAAGAACCGCAGTAACTTGAACAAGCAAGATTCTGTGCACAGACACCGCCACAGCAGCAACACCAACAGCAGCAGCAGCAGACCAAGCCATGCTGCTGTTTCTTGGTCATGTTTAAACACTACTAACTCCTGACTTGCTTTTATTTCTGCTTCTGTGTGCTTTTGCTGCTGCTGTGTGCTACTACTGCTGCTGCTGCTGCTGCTGCAGCTCGGGTTGAGGCTGCAGCCATTTGGTCTGCAGCCAACTGTGCGAGTAATTCAAATTAGTGGCGCTTTGAGGCATTTCGCTCTTCTTAGCGATTTAGGACAAATATATTGTCTTATAGATCCGTAAGTCCTTATAGATAGCTAGATAGCCAAGTACCTAGCTGGGTGGCTAGCTGGCTAGCTGGCTAGCTGACTAGCTGGTAGTCGGCTGGATAGGGAGTTAGCCTGATGGGTAGTTGGCTAGCTAGCTGGCTAGCTGGTTGGCTAGCTAGATAGCGGAGGCAATTAGCTAGTTGTTGTTAGGTAGGTGTAGCTAGCTACCCGCCAGTTGTTTGCAGATGGTACAGAGAGGGAGGCAAACATGTGCTGCTTTTTTCAATAGACTTGTGCTGCAGGTTGCTGCTGCTGCTGCTATTGCTGCTGCTGCTGTTGCAGGGTGTACCCGTGGCAAGAGGCCTATGGGGGTCGTTGGCATTTGCTGCCTGCATCGCTGCAGCGGCGGTTTTCTCAAGTAGCGATTTCTTCTTATCCAGTACCTGCAGACCCTCTTGCCTTCCTTAACCCAGCAGCAGCAGCAGCAACAGCACCAGCAGCTGCAACTGGGGAAGGAGAAGCAGGCGCCACAGGGTCGGCTACTCCGCCCTCGGCAGCAGCTGCTGCTGCTGAGGTCCAGCAGCACCGGGGAAGTCACGAGCAGCAGCAGCATCTGCTGCTGCAGCAAGAGTTGCTGCAGCAGCCGCTGCAGCAAGGTTGCTGCTGTTGTTGCAGCGTGCAAGACCCTGCAGGGCAGTTCTCTCTTGGCGCTATCGATGAGAATGGAAGTCTGTGGCTGGGTTGCAGCACAGCCTGCTGCTGCATGCGCCGCGGCAGCAAAACCTCTCCGCAGCATCAGCAGCAGCACTCTTACGGCGGCAGCAGCAGCAGCACAGAGGATGCTTGTTGGAATTACGATATCATTGGGGGAGGCCGCTGCTTCTGCCACATTGATCCAGAATGTCCCGTTGCTACCAGCAGCAGCAGCACGGGCAGCAGCAGCAGCAGCACGGGCAGCAGCAGCAGCAGCGGGAGAGCCAGCAGTCGGATGCGTCAGCTGCAGCAGCTGCATTGTCCACTGCAGCGGCAGCTGGGACGCTTGCCGCTGCAGCAACAAAGCAGGGGTAAGTGACTTCCTTGAGCTGCCCATACACCTCAGCAGCATGCTCCCCTTGCTGCTGCTCCTTCTGCTCCTGCTGGTACTGGTTTCTTATTGTGTGGCCGTGTGCTGCTTCTGTATGCGGGTCTGCAGCGACAGAGAACAATGTCCCGTGCGTGCTGCTGGCGCTTCCAGATGAAGACGCTCCTGCTAGGTCATCTCGCAGTACGGGTGCAACAGCAACAGCAGCAGCGACACCAGGGCCAAGTCCCACTGCCGATTTTGCTGGTGGGGCGTCTGCAGCAACAGGGAATAAAGCATTATCAGGAGCAGCATCAGCCGCAGCAGGTGGTACAGCAGCAACATCTCCTGCTGCTGCGTTGTCTGCAGCAGGTTCTACGGCAGCAGGAGCAGCAGCAGGTGCAGCAGCAGCAGCAGCAGCAGCGGCAGAAGGGAGCCCAGTACATTATGCAGCAGTATTTAGGTCTCGTCTATTCCCCTTTAAGTTTGGTCTTCTTGTAAAAGGGCGAAGACATCAGAGGCTATTTTGCCCTCTGCCAGATAAACCTGCAAAAGTGCGCCTGCTGCTGCTGTTGTTGCTGTCGTTGCTGTTGCTGCTGCTGCTGCTGTTGAAAGAGCTGCTGCTGCTGCTGCTGAGCCGCATGCAGTGGTGTGTGTTTCTGTGTTACTGCTGCAGCTCCTATGTGGCCCTGGTGCAGATTTTGGTTTGCTGCTGCTCCTTAATGGGCAGCTGCTGCAGTGGGGTCTAAGGAGACCCCCTGCAGGCTCTCCTAATCAGCGGCAACTCACCCTCGCTCTAACTCAGGTCTGCTGCTGCTGCTGTTGTTGTTGCTGCCGCTGCTGCAGGTGCTGCTGTTGCCGCTTCTGCTGTAGGTGCTGTTACAGATGGTGCTGCAGGTGAATCGCGAGTCCTTTCGGGTGCATTAGGAGCACCCAGCTGTGTTGAGTGGTGTCTGATGTGGTTGCTGTTGCTGCTGTTGTTGCTGCAGGTGCGGGGCTCGTTGGAAGGTCGTTGTGTGGTGGACGCTGCATTGGGGTGTCGTGCTGCTGCATTGGATAGTAGCAGCAGCAGCAATCAGGCCTTTGCAGTCTGCAGCAGCGGCGTGCTGCATGAGTTAAGTTTAAACTCTGCTGCTGCTGAGGGCTTTAGACTGCCAGGGTCACGGAGAAGATTTCTTGCAGCAGAAGCAATTGAATACACCCCACTAGCCTATGATATAGTATGGCATTTCCTACTGCTGCTGCTGCTGCTGTTTGCTGCTCTTGGTTGGTGATCACGGTGATGCTGCTGTTGCTGGTGGTTGTAGTGGTGCCGCTGATGCTGATGCTGATGCTGATGCAGCGGTTTGATGCAGCTGACATTCTTGTTGACACTCGTAGCCAGGTGCAGCTGCGTCTCTTGCTGGTGCTTCTGCGCATGCTAATGTTACTGTTCTTGTTGCGTATGCTGCTGCTGCTGCTTGTGCTGCCTCAGCTGTACGGACACTCCAAAGCTGCGGGTGTGAGACTTCCCTATGCCGTTGCCAACTTTAAGCGACTGCTACAAGTCGTCCCTGAGGACGAACTCGAGGCAGTGTTAGCTGCATGCAGCAGCAGCAACAGCAACAGCAGCAGTAGCAGCACGTTCAGACGCCTTGTCGAGTCCTACTGGCTGCGTGACGCAGCACAAGAGACTGTATGGCCTGCTGCTGCTGCGGCACCTGGTGCTGCTCAGCCAGCTGCAGCAGCAGCAGTAGTGCAGAGACCTGCTGAGGATGTGTCGGCTGCATCACATGGCTCTGCTGCTGCTGCTATGCAGCAGGCAGGTGACGATGCGACATGCAGCGATGCCGCAGGAACCAATATTAGGGCCTCCCGTGGGCAGCAGCCGCAACAACAGCAGCAATCACCGCACGGTCCTCCAGAGATTTCACCACGGAGCGACGCTGCTTCTCCTGCTGTTGCCAGCAGCAGCCACAGCACAGCAGCAGCTCGCCCCGGTTCTAGCAGCCAGCCCAAGCCTGGAGGTGCTGCTGCTGCTGGTTCTGCTGCTGGTGGTGTGTCTGATGAGGTATTCGCAGCCTTCATGCGGCTGCGAGAGGAGGAAATATGTCTTCTTTACACGGGGGGTGCAACGGCAACAGCAGCAGCAACAAACACAGCAATAGGAGCAGCAGCAACGTGCGGCACCGCAGCAGGAGACGGCCCAGCGGGTGTGGCGGCATCAGGAGGGCCCTCATCGGTATCACCATCTTCAACAGCAGCAACGGCAGCAACAGCAGCAGCAGATCCTGTACAGCAAGTTTGGTGCTGTGGGGCATTTGTGCTGCTTGCCCGTGCAAGCGGGCGCCTGCAGGCGACTTGGCGTGGCTGCAGCGGCTTGGCGATGCTGCTGCAGCAGCAGCATTTGCTGCGCTGCAGCGGCAGCAGCAGCGAGAGGGAAGGGGCAGCACCTATGAATGCCCCTCAAGACTTGTTCGATATCTCTAGACACCACCTCGCACAGGTAACCTAATGCTGCTGCTTCAGGATTTGTGCTGTTCGTGCATAAGTTCCATTTCGCTGCTGCTGCTGCAGTGCGGTGGGGATGCACTTTGGCTGCTGCTCCACAGGGGGGCCCCGCATGTGCGGCAGGAGCACTAAGCATGGAGCTGCTTCTGCTGCTGGAGTTGCTGCTGCAGCTTGTGCTCCTGGCTGGGTGTCTTTCGGTTGGCTGTTGCTGCAGTATGCGCGCAGTTGTTTGTTTGTTTTTCCGCAGGTGCTGCAGCTGCGTAGACACCTGAATTTAGGTGTATGCATGGGGGAGGGATTATGGGGTGGAGCACTGCGGCAGCTGGGGCCTCCTTATGCATGCGCTCCTCCTGCTCCTCCGCAGCAACAAGAGGAGCTGCAGCAGCAGCTTCTGCAGCTTGCTGCTGCTCCCCAGCCGCCCTATGCGATTTGCTGCTCCCCAGGAACCGTGCTGCTACTCGTTACGACTCTGCGTCGGGCATCCAACAACACAACCAGCAGCAGCACCAGCAGCAGCATCAGGAAGGAGGTGGATCTAGCTGCAGCAGGGCTTGCTGCTGCACCTAGCGGAGCCCTTCGATATCCTCCTTTAGGTCATTTGGCTTCTGCGCCGCTGCAGCGGTTAGCTAAGGCTGTGTGGCAGTACTGCATGCATGCAGCAACAGGCGCATCAGCAGTCCAGCAGGTGCTGCTGCAGACATCCAAGGACATGAGCGGCCTTGCGCAGCAACATAATGCAATGCTCCAGCAGCTGCTGCAACAGGATCGCCAACAGCAACAGCAGCAGCTGCAACAACAGGAGCAGCAGGAAGGAGGCTCCAGCAGCACGGAGGCTGCAGCAGGGACTGCCGCCACTCAGGTGTCGTTACAGCAGAAACAAGAGGCACTGCAGCAAAGACAGGAGGCGCAGACAGCTTCTGTGCTGCTGCTGCTGCTGTCTCGCGTGTTTGTAGCACAGAGAGCGGCAGGAAACCCTCACCTGCTGGAGCTTCTGCAGCAGCAGCAGCAAGAGGGAGACACCCTAGCAGCAAAGCGACGCCGCTGCGCAGTCCATGCAAAACGGACAGCAGCCCCAAAAAACAAGCGAAGGCCTGCAGCGTTAGAGACAGTCAAGCCCCAGCCAGAAGAAGGTTAAATAACGCAGCACCAGCGGCAGCAGGTGCCGCTGCCCCTGCGTGGCGTTGAGTCTTGGGGCAGCAGAGGGACGCTTGCACAGGCACTGCGAAAAGCAGCAACTGGCAAGATGCCCAGTCATAGACGCGTAGATAGCCAATGACTTAGCTAGCTAACTAGCTAGCTAGCCAGCTGGCTAGCTGGGTAAATCGCTAGCTGACTGGCTAGTAGCTAGCCAGCTAGTAGTTAGCTGGGAGGGGGGCTTGGCTAGCGCCAGCATGCTAGACAGCGGCGGTGGGTTCATTGCAATCTGGCCGGCTAGGGTGCTGGCTAGCTAGTCAGCTAGCCAGGGCATATCCGCAGCTAGCTGCTCGGCTGCCCGCCCCTCCCCCCAGCTACCGATCCGGCACATGTACAGACAGAGGCAGCTAGCGAGAAGGCGACGGCCAGCTAGTGAGCTAGCTTGCTAAATAGCTAGCTATCTGGCTCCATAGCTAGCCACCTTCTCATGCATGCTGCTCTGCTCCTAGTGCTTTTGTTTCAATTGCTTGCCCGTCGCATACCTAGTTGCCGGGTGCTGTCTGGCTGTCTGCTTCTGTAGCTAGCTGGATAGTGAGGTAATAGGCAGGTGCGTGGAGACGCCGCCGCTAGCTAGCTCTTCCGTCAGACAGGTGGGTGGCTAGCTACGCACTAGATTACAATGACGTTAACAACGACAGCTAGCTAGCTAGCTAGCTAACTACGAACGAACGAAGTGCTCAAATACTTATTCCAACGGTCTATGTCCCCACGGTTACCACCTTAGTTGCCAATGCAGTGCAGCAGCAACGGCAGGTTGATTTGCTGCTGCTGCTGTACCATTCGAGTGCGTCTAAACTGAGAAGAGCAGATCCCTGCCTCGGTAGAATGCTGCTGCTGCTGCCGTTGAGGCTGCTGCAGCTGCTGTGCTTAGCAAGCAACAGCAACAAGAAGAGTGTAGCAATCGGTACTGCCGCTGCTGCTGCAGATTTCTCACCTATCGCGGTTGTTAGGGCGGGCCCATTCCACCTGAAGGGGGAGCACCAGAGAAGCAGCAGCAACGGGGTGTGCATACACAGGGGATAAAGAGCAGCAAACAAGATGGAGGGAATTAAGAGGAAAACGAAGACAAAAATAATAAGACAAAATAAATCAAAACGCCCAAAAGGAAAGGAAAAGGGAAATAGCACACAAAGGCAAAGACACACAAACAAAGGCATCATAAAGATACGAAGACAAAGACACAGAGATAAAGACAGAAAAGCATAAACACACATGCAAAGACACGAAGACAAAGACATAAGGATAAGGACAAGCGCACAAAGGCATAAAGACAGAAAAGATACGGCAACGAAGGCAATGGCACAAAGACAAAGGCACGGCAACAAAGACAAAGACACAAAGAAAAAGAGAATAATAATAGTTTGTGTGTGTTAGCGTACGTTAAGCAAGAGGTTATCGTAACCGTGTCTGTTAAGTTTACGAATAGCTTGTGCTGCCAATTCTCTGTTAATATAAGTAATAAAAGCAAAGCCCTTGCTAGCCTTCTTGTCCCTATACACAATAAACAGCAGCAACAGCAGCAGCAGCAAATATATATACGCATGCATATGTACATATATATTTGGATGCACAAGTCTAGACAAATTATATGTAACCTATATTACATATTATACACCGTACAATACACTATATATACTTCTTTCCTTCTCGATATAATATACATGCAAATAAACAAATATTATATATATATATATATATATATATAT